ATATATGAAAAATAAACCCCAGGAAATTTACTTTGAAGTACATAAGGCAATGAGATGAATTAATTGATAGATTGAGAGATGGATAGATAAACAGATATGGGATGAAGCAAGTTTATTAAAATGTTAATGTTGAACTCAAGATGGCTACATAGGTGTTCACTGTAAAATTCTTTAAATATTGTCTGTTTCATAAACAATGCTGGGAAAGAAATACCTCAGTGTATCCCTGCCCCAGATAGAGTTTAAGATCAATCTCCTACATTTTCTGCCCTTTTAGGATTACTGGATTATTATGCCAGTAGAGTGGATGACTAGGAAGGAAGCAGTCAAGAGACTGCTTGGTTACACACTGATTAAGCAATAAATGGTATACTTATATTATGTGCCATTGGTCAGATTCCCTTCTGTAAGAATGGTGCACTAACATGGTTAATAAGGAGTTTGGGTAGTTAGAACCCTGGCTTTCTGCCTTCCTCCCCAACTCCGAGATCTGGATACTGGTCTCAGGGGATTAAGTACAGTCAGAAGTGGAATACGATTCATGGGTGTTACTTGTTGCATCAGGAGAAATCATTTACTCGTTTGTGACTCATAAACCTCTCATCTGAGGAAAGGTGCCCATTCCATGGGTCTATTTGATTCTGTGACCTTATTTGGTTTTGGGTGGCTCTCATTAAAATAATGGTAACCATAATTACAACTGAATGGGTGTTTCCTGCTTATAGAATCATTCCATTTGCTTACTTCATTTCATTGTCACACCATGCACTGATGCACATAGACCAGGTAATATTATGCAACACACCTCCACAAATGTGGGGAGTGAGGTATGAAGTGTGTAAGTGACCTGGCCAAGTTCATTATAGGGCACTAAATTCACGAGCTGAAATTAGAATTTAGGTTCCTGTCTTTTAACCCAGTTATGCTTATTTAATGCTCAGCTGAAAACGCAGGCAAATTCTCCTTGTCTAATTTTGCCAAGAAGATAAAGCTTTAGAAGAAATACAGAACCAAGGAAAGCCATGGAAAGTTATTTTCTGAGAAGGTACATCTCACCTGGATTGAATTTCTGCCACTTAATTCTTCTTTACTTTGGATTTCCTGGCAGCAGAATTAACAAGCTCTGACTGTGAAGTCAGATATTCCTGGGTCTGAAACTCTACTCCACCACTTCCCACCTGTGACATCAGGAAAATTGTTTTGCCTTCCTAAACCCAAGGCTTTTCAGCCATGAGATGAGGCTAATTACAGCACGTGCACCATTATGGGCCTGTTATGAGTATTAAATAAAATAATGCCCCTGAAGGGTATAGCTCAGAACTTAGTGATAGTACACGTTTACACCTATTGGCCAGAATTTTACTGACCAATCTCACTTCTGGGTATCTATTAAAAAAATTGAAATCAGAATCTCAAAGAGATAGCACTTCCACATTCATTGAAGCACTATTCATAATAGCTAAGATTTGGAAATAATCTAAGTGTTCATCAATGGATAAATGGATGAAAAATGTGAGATATATATCGAAATTCAGCCCATACGAAGGAAATCCAGCAATATGCAATCACATAAATTTTAACCTTGGAGACATTATGTGAAGTGAATAAGCCAGTCACAGAAGAACAAATACAGCATGATTCTGCTTATGAAGTAACCCGAATAGATTCACAGAAGCAAAGAATAAAACTAAAAATTGCAATCAGCAGGTATAAAATTTCAGTTATGCAAGATGAATAAGTTGTAGAGATTTGCTTTACAACATCGTGCCTGTAGGAAGCAGTACTGTCTTATACACTTAAACATGTGTTAGAAGGGCAGCTCTCACAATGTGTTGTAACCACAAGAAAATAAAAAATATAATAATTTGTAAGTAGACTCTACACACAGAAGTGCTTCTCCTGTATCTGATATAATTTATCTTTCTATCTAACTGGAAGGAATCACATTAACACATTTTTGAAATCAGAAAATTCTCATGGTAAAAACCTTTAAATGGTTTTCTAGTTATCAGGAGAAACTTCCCAGTGAGTTGTTACACAGGATGGGCTTCTGTGAGAGAGGCCAAGGAGGACTTTTAAAGTTGTCACCCCTTAGATTTGGCATTCACCCATCCGTCTGTCCATCCATCCGTCCATCTGCCCATCTGTCCATTGTCCATCCATCCGTGCATCCACCCATCCACCCATCCATCCATCCATCTGTCCATCTGTCCGTCCATCCTTCTGTCCATCTATCCATCCATCCATCCATCCATCATCCCCCCTTCCTTCACTGAGTGCCTCCTCCTTGAGTGTCTACTACACATCAGGCAGGTCCTGCTGTTGTGGACATTGCAGGCTACAGGGGAAGACAAATTAAGAAATCACACCAATGAATGAATGTACAACTATACCCTTGGTGATTGCTATAGAGCATATCACAATAGGCCCAACTTAGCAGAGAAGGGTCCCTAGGATGGTAGGTAAAGCTATGCTGAGATACGATGCTAAGACCTCTCTGGGAGTGGAAGAGTGACCAGGTAAGATAGAGTGAGGAGGGTGACAAAGTGGATCAGACACTGGGATCAGGAGCAAAAACTCTGTGGCAGACGAGTGTGGAGGCCTGAACAGAGCCCATGGGCTACAACAGGGGGAGTGAGGGCCAGAGCAGTAGGAGGCAGGGCAGTCTCGGGTTTGGACTTTAAGAGGATGGGAATCCATTGGAGAGTGTGGGCAGGGCTGTCCCATAACTCCTGGAGTCAGTTAGCGTAAAGGGGCAGAGGCCTGGGTGGCTAAGCCACCTTCATTCACAGAGCTGAGCCCACGATGGGAAAAGCAGAGATAAGAAGACCCGCGGGAGAGGACATCTACATTCCAACTCAGTGCCTGGCATCTGGGGAGCTGTAAGTCAGCAGGCCTTGGTTTCCCTCCTCTGGGAAGTGTGTTGAACGGGCAACAGAAATACAGTCAGTGCCTTAGCAAGTGCAAATAGCAGGTGAGATGGTGCAGTCAGAAAAATGATGATTTTTATTGACAAGCAACCCACTAAGCACATTAAAATTTACTCCGTGATAAATGTTTGCTTTTACCCAGCTAGCACCTTTCATCCCACATGCTCTTCAATTTTATGTTTACTATTCTCCTGATGCTCTTATAGCATTTCTACATGAATATGAATCCGTAAACAAGCAGCCCAGAGTTTAAGATCCTAATGATGAAATAAGAGCACTAAAAACACGGGACAGCCACATCCTTTCCGTCAGTCTGGTCAATGGCCTCTGGTGTTTCCTGGCTTCTTATTTGCAGGGACAGCCTTCAGGGAAGGGGTCATCAGGTGTCCTTGATATTCACATTCCCAGCACACTCAGGGACGCCTATGGGGTAATTAATTCCCAGAATAGCAGGGAAGAGTCCTTGCTCATCCATGTGCTCCCTTCAGAGATGCATCTGCGTGTGAACATCATGTTTCGTAGTAAGTCTCCTTCCAGAGGGCTGCAGACTTCTTCAAAGCCCTGTGGGAAGAGTAAATAAAATCAGGAGGGGAGACTGTAAATGGGGCTGCTCCAGGGAATGTTTGCTCTTCTGTCTGGTTGATGGCAGTGCGATCATTCCCAGCTATATCTGATCATTGTCCCTCTCTGTTCCCCAGTGGAGAGGGGTCAAATACATTGAATTGCTTATAGCAGATAGTTTATTTTTCCTTTATAGAGGAAATTGAGATTTTCTCTCATTTTATTCTTGTCTGTGCCCACACACCTGTACACTGACCCATCCTATACCCACCAGCCTACCCTGTTTTATAAAGTGGAAGATATTTTTCTGGGCTCTAGGGATACAGCAATGACTAGGAGAGATGTGCATTCTGTCCACATTCTGTCCTCCTCATCTAGCTTGAGAGACATATATAGTTATGTTATTTGAAAGTGATTATGATACAGGCCACAGCAGTAGAGAAGCAGGGGCTATAAGAGCATGTGGTGGGTTTAGAGAAGCCTGACATTGGAAAAGGCATTTGGATTTTTTTTTTTTTTGAGACAGCCTCAAGCTGTCACCCTAGGTCGAGTGCTGTGGCATCATAGCTCACTGCAACCTCCAACTCCTGGGCTTAAGCGATTCTCCTGACTTAGCTTCCCGAGTAGCTGGGACTACAGGTGCCCCCACAGTGCCCGGATAATTTTTGGTTGTGGTTGTCATTGTTTGGCAGGTCTGGGCTGGATTTGAACCCGCCAGCTCTAGTGTATGTGGCTGGCACCTTAGCTGCTTGAGCTATAGGCACCGAGCCATGGAAAAGACATTTGGGACGAGGCTTGGGGAGTGGATGGGAGTTGACAAGGTGATGGGAGGGGAGGAGGAAAAAGGTGGCGAAGGCATGAGATGGCAGGTGGCTGGGAGTTTTGTGGTAACTTAAGGTAGGATGACGGGAGGGGGTGGAGGTGAAGAGTCTGAATCTGGAGCTCTGGTCAGGAATGAGGTCAGATCAGGCCTGCCCTGTCAGGCTCATTCAAGATACGTGTGGTTTCTAATCCTAGAAGACAGAAAAAGTTTTTAAACCCAGACCACTAGCTGTTAATTTGACCAGGCCAATGTTCTCTAGGAAATTGTGGGTGAACGTCAGAGGATGAGTCCAGATTCAGTTCCTGTGACTTCACTTCCTCGGTCACCCCATCCTGATCCTCATGATCACGTCCCACTGGACCCTGCACTTGCAGCGCTGGCCCAGAGCATTTGGCAGTCCCTCCCACAGTGTAAGTTCTAAAGCATGGACAAAGCTCTGATGGGGAGAGAAAAACAAATAATACACAGACTTGGCTTCCTGAAACTTGAAATTTAGTATGGATAAGACATTTTCACTAAGAAGTTTCTAGAAGGCAACAGGTAAATGATAAATATTATTTCTGTTATTAATATAATTGTTGAGGTTGCTCCCTCTACAGTGTCATGTCCAGGCTGGGCATACAGGTGCCCCTCAATAAATGGTTTTGGGGGAATGACTCACAAGCCAGTGAACCGTCTGGGGACTGGTAGTGAAGAGAAATGAGAGCTGTGGGCCGAGAGAAATTATGTTCTTACCGGGGAATATCTGCAAACGCCTTGAGCATGGGCTTGTTCACGTACTGCAGTCCGTGCTTGGCACACAGTGACCTCACCAGAGGTGCCACTTTGTGGTAGTTATGACGCGGCATTGTGGGGAACAGACTAGGGAAACAGACGGGAAATACAAAAAGTTAGACCTGAAGAGAAGCCCAAGGGAGCTTTGTTTCCTCTATTACCAAATACAATTATTGTTATAACAGCAGTGGCCACTCACATTTGACCTTGAACAACACTTCTGGTCTGGGGAGTTCAAAAACTCTTGCTGAAATTCTCTCATCTTAGCTCTTGACAACTCTGGGAGCCACACAGCAAATGCTTGGAAAGTGCTAATAAAGCTAACATGAGCTCCGCAGAATATGTTTATTTTTGGCCAGGTCAGATGAATGTATGGGTTGTCTATTGTTGGGAATTACAGGGAGGGCCTGAGATACTCTCTTCCCCATCTCTGTCTTTGTCTCTCTTTTCTTTTCTCCTTCTAACACCTTCTTCATGAATAAGTTAGTGTTCAATAAGTTCTTGTCGCGGTAACGTCCTAAAATCGGAATAAGATGATGGCTTCTAATCTGAAGGTTTTTACTAAGCAGCCAGGTGACCTTCTTGGGTTTTAACCTCCTCATTGATAAAATATGAATAGTAATCCTTTCTTATTTTGCTCAGGTTTTTAAGGACTAGCATGTAAGAAAGGACGAGAAAATTCTGTGAACTGGTCAAAAATCTTTTCCTTTCTATGACTACCCCAGAGATGGTTTAGAACAAATAAAAAGGATGCAAAAGCCTCTTCCCTGAATGTTCTGGGGAGATTGGCTTTCCAGGTGTTTTTCTCTTTCTTTGTCACATGTCCAGAAACCTGAGCCATTGATAAAGTATTGCCAGATGCCATTTGAAGATTGCATCAGAGACTGGGATTCATTGTTGATTATTTTGTAACTTTGGCTCTAAAGAGACCGGTATTTAAGTCATAATTAAATTTCCACACAACCTGGTTACCCAAGTGGTGTGATTTTTCTTTGGTTTCACCAACAAACCAAATGTGTAGAAAACAATCACTAATTCCTAAGCCTGTAGGTATCTGGAAACTGAATCCACTGAGTCACTGGTACTTTTCCAAGAATCCACTCCTTAGAATTGTTAATGCCTCTCTCCTTCCTTCCTTTCTTCCCTACCTCCCTTACCACTGATGCTAATACAAAGAGAGAAACCTTAGAGAATTCTGATTCATTCCACCCACCACCGAGACCTTAAGCTTAAAGCTCTGGTCTAGACTACATTTTGGTTGTTACAAATGACTACCCTCACCCCTTCTGTGGACTATTTCTATCACTCACTGGTGCTCGATTTGGAAGTTCAGGTGCCCAGTGAACCAGTCATTGAAAATGGACTGTTCAACATTACAGGTGGCTCGGACCTGCAAAGAGAAAGCTTATATTAGATAAAAGTGAGCCCAGGGTCATACAGAGAAAATGCTTATTTATTCTTCTATTTAGTGAATCATAGGAGGAGTGTTTTTTTTTTTTTTGAGATAGAGTGTTACTTTCTCACCCTCAGTAGAGTGCCATAGTGTCACAGCTCACAGCAACCTCCAACTCTTGGGCTTAGGTGATTCTCTTGCCTCAGCCTCCCGAGGCTGGGACTACAGGTGCCCGCCATAATGCCTGGTTATTTTTTGTGGCAGTTTGGCTGGGGCTGGGTTCAAATCCACCACCCTCAGTATATGGGGCTGACCCACTAAGCCACAGGCGTTCCCCTCCATTTGAGGAATGCTTATTGAGATCCTGTTTAATGTAAGAAACTGTGAGGGACATAACAGATATGCAGTCCCCAGTCTAAAAATCCTGTAATTTAAAAAGGAAATTAGACATCTTGCTAAGAAGTACATACAAGGCAATCTGTATAAAAAAGTCACTATAGACCCTGAGATATGGAAGATTGAGGTATCATAAATGAGGACGCTGGCAGATGGAAGCAGGATTGTAGCATTTTGGTAGGGATTACAAGGGTAGGATACCAATTTTACAGAGATGACCTGCAGAACTTCTAAATAAGTAATAAGATATTTAAAGGTTTTATCCTAGGGTTCTGTGCATGGAAGTATATTCTGGTTAAAGCAGTTTCCCTTGTAATCTTATATGTTGTAGTTTAGGATATGATGGAGTTCATAACTTCTCTATGCTGCCAAGATTAAGAACCCTCATGAATAGCACTTCAATTTTTTTAAAGGTATTATTCCCATTGGATGGTGCCATTTTGAATGCTGAATCTATTACTTTGAGTGTTTCTCAAAGTATAGTTCAGAGAATTTTGAGGGTCCCCAGGATGCCTTAATAAAATCTGCAAGGTTGAAACTATTTCCATAACACTTCTAAGACATTGTTTGCTTTTTTCATTCTCATTTTCTTATGCTTATGTAGTGGAATTTTGTAGAGG